AACTTTACTGTTACATTTTAATCACAGAAAGTTTTCTATAACTTTTCAATATTTCTAAATTTGATAAAAGGTTTATTAAGAATTTGACATTTATAGAAGAAATAAAGTCCATTTTATTTCTTGCAGTTCTTTACTGCTTATGGTTAATTTAGAAACGAATTGCAATTAAAACCAGACCAGTATTTAGACATTACACTGATGTATGTTTGAAATACAATATATTTTTCTTTAGTTAACTGGCTGTATTTCATTTAATTCATAGAATGTTCAGCTAAAGTTAAAGCTACACATAAAGCTGTTGTTAATACAGATATATACATGTAATCAGGACGTTAAATGTAAATGCTTACATGCCTACATAATCGTATACTAAAAAGTGAGAAATATAGTTGGTCAAATAGAGACAATTTAGGTTTTTAATTTCAACATTTCTTTTCAACTATTTTCAAATTCTCGTAGAAAGTCCTTTTTAGAACAAAATAGAACCCAGTTTTTCTTTATTCGAATAGATGTACATTATACATAGGAATATTTTTGACAATGCATTTAATGATTAACCATAGTACATGTAGCATATTTAAGGTGTAATCTGAGACCCTGGATAGCGTCCCGTATTTCAAAGCTTCCTATTCTCTCACAGTCCAGTTTGTTTTCTTATTTCACTGTACTTATAAGTATATTATTATCATAATAGATATTAAACGAAATATGTGTGAATCAGGTTTTCTTATGGAAATATCTATTTAAACTTCAACAGAGAATAACTCTCATAGTACAAATTTAGACAATAGACAGAACAAAAGTGTACTTATGGACGACGTTAGTTCGATTTTTTATGTTTAAACTTGTTGATGAATACTAGTACGTAAAAGCAGTAATTTTTTGATATTGTTTATTTAGATATTTATCTTCATCCCGTCAATAATGTGTACATTTGCTATACATATCATAACATAAAAATAATCAAGTGCACCCGCTACATTCTCTCTTTCAATAATTTACATGATCAAATAAGAATGTTTTAAAGGCGAAAAAGAACGTCTGTTTGTTTCGACTGTTGGCAATTGACACACCTGCTCCATCCATTAATTTAGACCTTTAGAAGACTTGTACTTCCAAAATAAGTTATTCGATTTTCGGACTACCATTATTCATAGAAAGTTAGATGGACAGGCGTTATTATATGTTAATGTAAAACATTTTCCAAAATTTCAAAAGTACTCGGACCAAGCTTCTGTTATAGTTTAAGCATTTATGTTCTCGGCACATAAAAATGTATTTCGAACACTCACGTCAGTGTGGCTGAAAACTGTCTACAGATTGAAACATTCTACCTGTCTTATGTAACAAAATTAAATCAGTTATAAATACCAACTACTTTGGTACAAGGAGTACATACAGCGTCATTAACTCATTATCTATTCAAATCGTCTGGTTCTGCATATTTAAGTTAGTAAGATAGCTCCATTTGTTATAAACGCATTCTACTTAAGAAAAAGTATTTTATCATATTATGGGTAAATTATCCTCTGTTCCTCGAGGTCCTGATTTTGGGATAAATTTCCCTTCTTGATGTCACTATGATAAGTTAAACATGATCTTGTAAATACAACACAAATCAGTTATTGTATATAAAGGGATACAAGATAAGAAATCAGTATAACTTGTGAGTCCCCGTTATTTAGAACTATTTATAATGTCAATGTACTGTTTTTGCATGGTATTATGAACATGGAAATGTATACAGTTGTTTTTTTACTGACTGCAAAACATTTCGATACTACGAGTCTGTCTTCTCGATCATAGCTTTCCATATGATTTATTTTGATGTTTGAAATACTAACACTATTATTAAAAAAATACAATCGGTTAATATATTATTTTTAAGTCTTTATCTTTCTTTACCAATGTCAGTTTTACGTACTTTTTTGGACTTTCTGTTCGCAATAAATACTTTTTGTTAGTGATACTGTATAAAAGAGAAAGAATAAGTTATTTTTAAAGTCTGCTGAGAAGCATAAGCATGCTCGATTGTTAAACGAAATATTGTAACAATGAAGTAGCTTCCGTTAAAACAGTTTTAAATGTACACACACTTGTATGCTTATATTATTTTGAAAGATGTTTATCATGCAATTTCATAAATGTAACTTGAAAACAGATCTACAATTTTAAGGATACAATTTAAAAATGATATTTTCACTTAGATAAAATAAGTTGAACGACAGACACATAAAATCATTTAATGTCGACAGCATTTTAATTTGATAAATTTCAGAATAATTTTGTGCTTAATCATGACATAACGCATTGCAATGAATTATCAATAAGACGCAAACTTCATGATGCGCACACGTGCATCACAAGACACAAAATAATAGATAAATGTTGATGTATTAACTCTTTGACACATGATCACATGACTTGAAGTGAGGCACAAATAGTGCTTAAGGTATGAATACAAAATAAAATGAACGTTTTTTGATATACTGTTGTTTAAATGATATTAAAGATGAGTATCATTTAATTTTTGTACGTGTTACAATGTACAATGTGGTAAGAAAAAAACATTTAGAGATTTAACTACTTTAGTCCTAGCATGTGCATGTTTTAGAATTATTAAAAAATCCTTATAAGATAATTTAACGTAATAAAAGAATTGGCTATGATATATACTAGGACGAAAAAGAAACGCTGGGTACATAAAATATGCAACACATATTTTATTGTTTGGCCTAAAATAATGCCCGGCCCCATGTCGCCAGAGTTTGCCAGCAATTTCTTGCCAACAGTAACATACACCCACTCGATTGGCCAGCATTCAGTCCAGATTTGTCCCCAATTGAACATTTGTGGGACGAACTGGATAGGAGGGTAAGGAGACGTCCACATGCCCCCACTAATCATGTCCAGCTCACACATGCCTTGCATGAAGAATGGAATAACATCCCCATGGCCATGATTAACACCCTGGTGAATTCCATGCATAGGCGGATCAGGGCTGCCACAGCTGCGCATGGAGGACACACAAGATACTGATATGTCCGGCCATGTTTCGCAAAACAAGAAGGGTCATCGTTAAAAGGGGGTATTTTTTCACATAATCAGCATCGGAAATCGATTGAAACTTCAACAGCTGGTTCCATACAGATGACATTTCATACAAAAATGAATATAATAATCCAATAATACAATTTATCCCTTAAAACAATCATTAAAGGTTACCCGGCGTTTCTTTTTCGTCCTAGTATATTAGTTACACATATTTGAATTCAAGGTTAATCCTCTGTGAAATAAAACGTAGGTATGACGGAATGTTTTGTTAATTTTAAGAAATATCAAATTACATCTTGTTTTGTTAACATTTTAATATGATTTGTGTTTGTTTAAATAAAGCGATAAAAATACCAAGTACTTTGCTAACATTTGACTATGATACGATTATGGAATTTGAATTATATTTGAAATATTCAAATGATTATACTTTGTATGGTTATGTATTTTGTACAAGTCTGAAATAAATTTTCAGTTTTGTTCTGGGCTGCGTTAAGCAGGCGACAACGGGGGTAATTATAAAGAGATCTATCTACGGCAATAACTGAACCCGGTAAGTCATAAAATCGATTATTTTACTTATTGTGTACTGAAGGAGGTATATATACCTTTGACGTTTCATGTCACTGTTATAAATACGTTTTGTGTAATCAGTCACATTTTTTACAAACGACGCAGCCAATCAACTGGTCACAGTAGCTGGAAAAAGATGGTAACAATAAGTCTACCTTTTTCGAATCTTTTCAATAATATAAATAGCTTTGTTATTGTTCAAGAATAACTTTGAAAATTTACGATATTGTCACTTAGGTCACTTTAACAGTTATGTACCTTGTTTATACTCTTGTGCCTTGTCAAGATATGCATAGTCAACACTTTCTTTCTTAGACCGAAAGTAAGAGTTAGAAAGGGGAATTACTCCAGAAACATATACTGTTTAGAATAAGTACCCTTATCTAAAAGTTGCATTTGCCAATGTTCTAAGAAAAACAATGGTTTCGTGTTAACATCTTAATAAGTGTTTGCGACATTGACTATATTATCGCAACGACAAAAACGACTGAGCTTCCATGATAACTCGATCATATAGCGAGTTAATAAACGTCAAAGTGAACAATTAAAAGGTATAATTCATAGGTAAAAAGTATGTCATTTACAAATATATTACTGTACAATACATTTTTACACAAAGCAATTTACAACCTCTGAAAATATGTATACATATACATTCATAAGTTAGAAAAATGGAATGTCACACTAGTATTGTACAATTCTCCGCAAATGTTTTACTATAGCAAAAGTTTGAATTGATACACTTTCCGTTGTTCATCGTCATTACCAAAGACAAAACACTAAAATTCATTGAAGTTTGATCAAAATCTTTCAGTTTTGTTTAAATGAGACAAATACGATCGATTGATGCTTATAGTTGGATTGATTGATGCTCATAGTTGGAAAACGTCATCATTTCATAAATATACAAAGACATTTATTTAAGGTAGAACGCGACACTTTGCGATCTTTCGAGAAACGTCTTAAAACTTGGCATGCAAAATGTTGATTTCTGATTAGATTCCGTTAATTTTATTCCAATAATTTCAGCCATTTTTGTACACATGACGTCAAAGTTTATCATCAAAGCCCGTTTTTGAACATGACGTCGTTGCGTATCCTTGGCAACTGTAACGGGTATCACAACGCCATAGATAGACAAAACATCCTAAATTCCACAGCATTCGATGGAAATTATTTTTTTCCTTTAAGCTGATATACAATTTATGTTTATTTTCTTTAAACATCCTTTAAAATGTAAACTTTGCCAAATGACTTAATAAATAGGGGGTCACTCACCCAAATTTTTCGGTACATATTTCGGTTATATTTTCTTTTTTCATACATATAACATGCATAGTTGAAAAGCTGTTTCGAACCAGACATCAATATATGTAACTTGTTGAGATAATTTTTTAGTATTATAGAAAACAATTAGTAATATTTTCTTTGTTTTCTTCCAGATTTCTTTTCATGGGCATGTTCTGATACACTGTAAAAATGTTGTTGTATGCTGTAATATAATGTTAAGTTTCAAACTGACGCAAAATGTTTGAAAAAAAGGCGAGTTCTTAGCTGTGTCTCCAATGATTTAACTATTTTATTATGAGATATGTAAATATGTATTGCATTTTTCCACATTTGTTCTCCTGCGAATATTTTCATAAGGCATAGGTTGGTTCTTTACTATAGCAAAATTCGCTGAAACATGTGTTCCGTCCTATCCAACGTCATCGTTGAGAGCGTTACGTTAAAATGTGTTATAACGTTGTTCTGGGGGCTTCCGATAATGACTTCCGGATAGAGGCTCCTCCTCGAGCACTTTTATGTCGTTGTTTACTTTATATTTATTCTGTAATAATTTTTAAAAACTCAGTTCAGAACTTTATAAAGCAGTAAATGTAAAAAAGATGTTATTTGGAATGTAGATTTAAAAAAATATATCGATATCACATCTTTATAAATGTTTTTGATTTGACAAAAACGTTTATTCCATTTAATATGACAAAAACCCTTAAAATTAAGAAATGGTTCTATCAAAAAAAAAAAACAAGAAAAATACAGAAGTTTGCAACGCATAAGATTATTAAACAAAGTTATATCAGGTTTTATTTATATGATGTTGCGACTAAGATTTAAACAACCTAGACAATGGCGTTGTTTATATGTTTGTATGTTTTACCTTTTTAGAGCGTGATTTGATACAAGAATGGCACACAAGTTGAGAGATGGATATAAAAACAGCTAAAACAAGTCCACTTATCAATATATGGAATACTCCTGAAACGTTACTTAAATTCAGCCCTTTCTTTCCTTTACCCTAAAAAAAAGAACAAACATATCATAGAATTATTCATTATTTTTAATTTAAAAGTCAGTTTAACAGCACTGTTTTCAATGTATAGTTATTATAATTAGATGTTTACAAAAGACATTTACAGCTGTTTCGTTGAGATATGTAAACATAACACGACAAACATATAGAATGAAAGAAAATGTATAAGTTGGATAATGATTGGTCAAATGTAGACCATGTTTTTTTTTGTTTTCAATATATATGTACACTTACGAGTGTTACTATGGTTATAGAATCGCATGGGGCTATTTCAATTTTTACTTTTTTATTTTTTCTATCTTTTCTAATAAATTGCATGGTCCGATTTATATCAATATATATGGTTTCCTAAATTAAAAGCACTTGTGTCTTAGCAAAAGCAAAAGTCTACATTATTATGGATCATCCCTTAAAAGCTTTTAAGGTTACGATATGTAATGAAAGCACTTATTTAAGGTACATGTACATAAATTCAATTTATTATTGTAATTTTTAATTTAGTTAGGCATCCAAACAATATAAGTTTGATCGTAATGACTCTGAGCCGTTTTCCTCCATTACTCTTTAAAATCATTGTTAACAGAAAAGAAAAACATTCTCAATCGAAGGTTTGATGAAAAGCATCAAAAATGACTTATAACTTTATAATCACAAGTGACAATTTGAATATGAGCCGCGTCACGACAAAACCAACATAGTGCGTTTGCGAACAGCATGGATTCAGACCAGTCTGCGAATCCGCGCAGTCTGATCAGGATCCATGCTGTTCGCTATCAGTTTCTCTATTGTTATAGGGTTGGTAAGCGAACAGCATGAATCCTGATCAGACTGCGCGGTAGCGCAGGCTGGTCTGGATGCATGCTTGGCGCAAATGCACTATGTTGGTTTTTTTTTGTGACGCAGCTCATATATTTACCCCACCACTGCTACCAGCACACTGTCCCTTCTGGTACCACCATTTTTGTTCTAACTTCAGCAGGTCGCCCCTTTCTCTAATTTCTAATAGAGCTATATTCAATTGTGAACTGTAATCACATAAACATAAATTGTCAAAATGGAAAAAAACGTAAAAATAAATTTTATATATAATTTTGTTTGGTTTGTTGCAAAAAAGAAATTAGATAATTATGAAATTGATCTTTCCTTACAATTTTAACTAAAGAGAGTTTTAATTGTATATTGTTTTAAGCATAATTGTTTAATAGTTTTAGTCTGGTTGACTGTCGCAGAGAACTGAATATTCGCATAGTTTTGATGATTAACTCCGACTCAACAACAGAAAAAAACATCTCAAACGGTCGAACCTATTTTCTCATAAGAATTCGATTATCCTTGATAACTGACGACAAAACCGTAAATACATGTTATCCTATCATTCATTCGACATAAGACTTAAGCTAAATATGGATTTCTTCATGTGTCACTCATTACAAAAAACTCTTTAAAATTTGTAAACTTATAGTTAAATGACAATGCATTTTAAACTTTCATATACATTTAAGACGGTATAAAAAGAGTGGTGAAATATCTTGTTCCTATCCTGTATGTAAAATGGGTTTAATTTAAAAATCTTGACATAGTACTTGCATTACGACACAGCGTAAATGAAATATACAGTTACTTACCCCAGGGGAAAATTTTTCCTAGTTGCGATACCATATCCCTTTTCATCTAAATTCCTCCCTATTTTCATTGTTTGACAAGGCTTGCGTTGATTGTAGTAATTATTACTGGATGATTCTAGGAGAAAAGCATATTTTCCCCTTCCTTTGATGACTCTATCCCACCCTGAAACTGCGTCATGTTCATACACAGAGGGGAATGTTGATTTCATAACCTCGTACATTGTTTTATAGACTGTCACATTCGAATCCTGATGTAAAATAAAACCAAGTATAAAAAAGGTCAAGGTAAAAACTGATATTTCTTCATCGAATAGATTCATTTCAAATGACATCACATATTTTTCAATTTTTCAGACTCGAACAAGAATACTGTTAACAATATCATGTTTGTATAACACTCGCTTTACTGAATTGACAATATGAAACAAAAATCTTTGTCAAATTTATATAAATATGTACTTTATATCATAAGCATTTGCAAGTACATGTATACTACTAGTTTGAATTACCTCAATACGTTTTTTTTAAATGTTCTTTAAGGGTTCAGGATATGTTTAAGATAATGATATAATCAGTCAACTATTTTCATTGAAATGAATTTTATTGGTTGCGGTTTAAATTTATAATGACGAACATGTTTCATTGTGTTTGGCACTGACAACTGGGTTCAATTATTCAGAGCATTCATTGTTACCTTTAAGAAATCATATGTTGCTGGGTTCAATAATTCAGAGCATTCATTGTTACCTTAAAGAAATCATATGTTGCTCCTGACGCCTGCGTTCCATATTTTATTCTACTTTGTTTCACTAAATCATCTACAGAATTAATGGGTGTTATCAGTCTTTCGAACGTCAAACACGCCGCTAGGTTCGCTGTATATGTTGATATAATAATGAGTGTGAAAAACCACCAGGCACTTGCAAGAACTCTACCTGAAAGCGATCTTAAAGAGAAAAAAACTCATTAATTTAATTTCATTGGTTTAACCTTGGAATCGTCTTAAGAAGGTAATACTAAATGCATAAAATTATAAAATATGTATAGAAAGGTAAATGTGATAAACAAATACATAAGGTGCATAGCAAAGGCTAGCCTATACACGTGTTTATCCTGATTAGACACATGTTTATCCTGATAAGACACATGTTTGTCCTGATTAGACACATGTTTGTCCTGATAAAACTATATATGTGACTGTGTTATCTCGCCACTCAATATTTTTTATATTTCATATGGTATATTATATTTTTCTAGCATTTTTTTACTTTTATCGTTTTAAAACATGGGCAAAAGTTTAAACATTTTGTACCAAAATAAATACACATAAATTACCTCGGAAACTCATCCGGTCCCTGTTGTAATAATGCTCCTAATGTGTACCAAATATTGTTTCCAAACGAAAATGTATCTGAAGGGGCTTTCTCCCCATTGTCACCATTCCTCCACTCAAATGGACTAAATCGTCCCACCATATATAGAATAAAACTCACAGCAAAGAATCCGCACATTATACATCCCCAAACTTCAAATGATAAAGGTTGCATAAATGAAAATACCCAAGGCCTCTCTTTTTCAGGTTTCTTTATCATGATACTAATTCCAGTACTCATGAACGGTTTGGTGAAGTAAACTGCGGTTTGTCTCTTCATTGTTATTGTTAAACTAGCCAGAGCTATGTCAGCTTCCTGCAAGAGAATATCAAATTCTATACCATCAACAGTGTCATGGTCTAATCTTCAGTACATTGTTAAATTAAAGTCCCCGTAACTCAAAATGTTATGGTCTTATATGATAAACGATGATTATATTAAGAATTATTAACTATGCTTTCACATGGTTTGAAGTCATTATATGTAAAACGACTAAGATTAACTTCTGACTTCTTGATTATCAAAATCAGTTTCTGTATTAAACATATGCACTTAAGCAGTGGCATGGTCTAATGTTTCGTTCATTGTTATATCAAGGTCCATGTACCTCATAATTGTATGGTCATATATGATAAACGATGCTCCAATGAAGAATTATCAATATTGTAAGTTACAAAAGCATTATTTACCAAAGTATGACCAAATTTAACAGTTCATGTAGGGAGGTACATGTGTAATTAGAAATACATTCCTGAATACGAGTTGTTCATATTTTCAATAAAATTATGTGTTTCATTTTTAAAACTTATGTAAAACTTTTTTGAATTATTATAAAATTCTTGAATGTTTAAATTGTTTGTTGGAAATATGTGTATACAGTTTCGGTTAACTGTATGTACATCCCTCGTTACAACAAACAGTGTTATTTTTTGAGTTATTGAATTTTAGCATACCTTTCTGATCAACTCTCCAATAAGCCCATTCCATGATGTTTTATTATTTTCTGTCACTGGAGATCCGTACGCACCATCATCAACTATTTTTATTGTATAATTAAATCCTATTTTTTCTGCTAACAGTTTCATCATATCTATACAGTATCCTTCAAACCTGTCGTTCCCAGTGCGAGAACTTCCGTTATCATCATCTTTCAGCTGTACAAATGGCTCACTCTAACATATGAACAAAAATTTGCCAATTGTTAGGATAGAGAAAATAAGAATCCCTAAAGAAAGCCCAACACGGCAAAATTAAGAATGTTGCAGGCTCGCTTTGATTGAACCTGTTCATGAACGGTACTGTAAAGTGCAAACTACCGTCCACCCTCCCTAGCACCGGCTTAAGCAGAACTCAACATTTAATCATGGTAATGGTGACGTTTTGAATTTAGAAACATCCGTAGATGTGATCATACGGCGGTTATCATGGAACCTTCAATGTAATACTACCACACTATTCCATGAAAAGCGGCGTAAGGTCCTCAAGTAAAATAATGCGTGTGCTCTAAACCAGAAAATCATGGGGGGAAACTAAATAAAAAGGAATTTTGAAAGGGGATCAGAGGTTATGAAGTCAGTATATCACAAATAAGACGTCAACAAAGCAGACACATACCCTAAGGGTGATTCCACATTATTCAAGTAGGAATAATGGAAACACCAAACTAGAAAAATGCCGAAAAGCAAAAACTAAAAATACCACAAACACAACAATGCTGTCGTGCTGAACGGTCTTTAAAATTGTTTGGGTAAATGGCTGTGTCTGTTATACGTTTGTTATATAAATGCTTGATTTTTAAATCGAAAAATTTAAGGTAAACCAAATATACACAGATATATTAAAACACACTTCTTTTAATTAATATTACACCTAATGTAGCTGTCAAATATATCAAACGACCAGTTAATTCATTTTTGTTAAATTTGAAAGTAACAACAAATAAAAATATTTAAATATATTTGAAACACTTTTTAAAAGTTACTATTAAATACATTTATCTAAAGACATAATCTACTTTGTCCTCCATGTAGATTATTTTAAAAGTTAAGTGATTAATACATGAATAATTTTACAGTGAAAGTAGCAAAATGAAAATTTGTAAAGTGTAAAATGATGCCGAATTGCACTTAAATGCGGGAGAATAACATATATCATTTAAAATGAGTGAAATTCTTTTGCGAATATTATATATAGTTACTTACAATAATGGTTGTTACAATCATTGTGTCATTGGCTGATTTTTCTACATTGTTGTCAACATTTCGATTAATGGCCATATCTCTCAACCCAACACCTTCCTCCCAATATCCCACCTGCAATATTAAATATCATTGAATATATAAATATCTTTTCAAGTAAGTTATACTTTGTAAAAAATCAAGAAAATCATAACAGATTTAAAAACATATCATTGCCTTTTTTTTAAATAAAAAAATATCCAGTTTAATTTTTGATAATACATGTATATCTCTTCATTGTTTAGTTTAATAAGCGTTGATTTCTAATAATGGCTATCATATTATTTCACTATATTTCATCTATCTTCGAGTTAAGAACAGCAACAAATAATCATAACCTGATTTATCTAAACTGCTTCAGATGTCTAGAGACCAAACAAGAATGAACTAAATCTGAATATTTTCGGGTAGAAAACTAAAATTGACCTTATATCAGGTTATACGAAATTTACCTCAGTAGGAAACTAGATATTAGTATATACCCGGATAAACAGAGAAGAAAATAAAACCCGGTCTTGTATCAGAATATACCCGATTTACTTACTAATAAGTAGAAAACTTAACCAGGTCCAGTATCAGAGTATACCCGGTTTACTCTAGAACCGGCCTTTTGTCAGTATATACCCTATCTACTCGAGTAAAAAAACTTAACCCTTACTTTTATCAGAATAAATCCAATTTACGCATGCTTACCTCTCGCAGTTCCGATTTGAAACTTAAATGATATAAGTCTAATTTATAACCCCTTCTGTTCCCATATTCATCAAATGCTACCTTTCCCGAAAGACCTTTGTTAGATCCTTCAAGTGTAACCTATATCAACGAAACAATATTTGTTCATATTGGCTCTCGTTATGATTGCATGTATGTCGTTATATCTATGTAGAAATTGTTAAAACATTTAATAAGGCTTTTATTTCATGTACTAATATTATGGGGGCAAAATAGCAACTAGATTTCAAATAAAAGAATGATATTGTATTTCTAAATGCACAACAAAACAGCAATATTGTGATCTTTTGACATCAACACATTGCGATTTATATCAGAAAAAAAATGACTTCATCTTTTTGACAGGCATGATTCAAATAAGATTATTTGTTAAGTCTTAATTATTCACACGGAAACTGATATTGAATTAACTCTAGCATTAGGCAAACTTGCTTGATATTCTTTAATTGATGAATGCATACAAGTATGAGTTGAAATTCTACTAGTTTAAATAGATTAAAAATAAACCAAAGAAAGCAACTCACGTTCAATATTGTTTGTAAAATAGATTGTCCATTTTCCATGACTTGTACTGGATTTGAGGAGCAACTCATATTCATATAAAGCTGACCTCGGCGAAAGCTAATGATTTTTTGCTGAATCATTTTTATAATGGCTGTAGTGAGAACTGCGACGGCATCCACATTGAGAGCCGCTTCTACCTGACAAAAAATATTATCACTGTGAGTATTTAATAAATGTCAAAAGTATTAACATATGACCTGAGGCTAGAAAGGTCTAATGCACCTTTTCATTGAGTTTAATCTGCAGAAGCGAGAGGGTGAACATAAAGTCCGAATCCGAAAGGTGAGGGAATGAATGAATTCTGAGGGCTTCAGCAGATCTCAAATCAAGCAAAAAATAATTAAAACTATTCATTTTCAGTAATTAGGTTAAATCAACGTATCGGGATTTGTTTTCCAGCAAAGTCAAATAGAAAAAATCGGAATCCCCAAAGAATGTCTGAAACGACAAAATTGAAAATGTTGCAGGGTCGAGTTGATTGAGCATGTTCATTGACGGTACTAAAAGTGCAAGTCCTCGTTCCTAGCAATGACATTTGTCATTCAAGGTCAAATTCAGTTTCTTTGTCTTAAAGGTTTTTGTGCTCAAGTATGGATACAATCCAATTATGAATTACAAAATTATTGCCAATTTTTGCAAAACACATCAAGTCAAATACAATAACTTGGTATTGAAGGTTTAGGTCATTCAAGAAGCATAAAGGTGTTGTTCTACGTGTCAAAGTAATAACTCAAATACAATCAATTTATATAAAAATATATATCAAGTTTACAGCCAGAAAATCAATTGATTAACAAAAATAAATCAAGTTCAAGGTCAAGGAATTTTAGAAGTCAAATTAATTTCAAGCTAGGAATGGCGTACAGGTATGGAGACAATCAGATGAAAAAAATATGACTACAGTTAAAGGTTAAGAACGGCAAAGCCAACAATGCCATGACTGTAATAATTGTTCGTCGAACGTCATAAGTTAAAAAAAAATAAAAAATAAACGTCAACATTTATTCAGAATGTTGCTTAAACATTTTTCATAAAGATGCGCGAAACTGCACGACAATCAAACGTGTTTTAAAATATGTGATAAGCAGTATACAGTAGTAAAATATGAAAAGTACGATCAACAAGGAAGGGCAGCGTTCAAAGAACGCAACCCCACATAACCAAGCAACACAGGACCACCGGCTAGGAGCCAAGCAGGACCCAAATAAAATCAGGACATGGCATAAGGCAAATTTAAAGCATGAAACATCAGAGCAGAGTATCAGATAGAAACTATATTGAATTATTATATGATCTGAACTGTGATGAGAAAAGATATCAAGTAATTCAAAGAATATCTTCTTCTAATCACATGGGAGTTCGCTGTTGATTCATTTCTACGCTCTATATATACTTAAGGACAATGAAAACGCACGGTCGAGATAATTGCATTTAAACAATGAAAATATATTTCTTTTAAATATTTGTTCACAGTTTAATAAAACCGAATGCATTCCGATGATTTAGATACCAAAGTTATGAAAAATGATTGCATTTTAATGAGGTTATTGCATAATAAAGACAGTACTCGAAAAATCAAATGTAACACTTTTGGCTAATTGTGATAAGATCACAACAGAAAAACAGATTTAACCATTTTATTGTAACTTTATGAAATGAAATTATTTATCTTTTTTAAACTGTTAATTATTGATTTGTTTTTTCACACCTTTCTATAAATGTTAAACACAAATGAGCAAGTAAAATCTTTATGAAAATGAATATTAAACTATGCCAATAGTAAGTTTTAGAAATCGTAAAAGCTCACATGGAAATTGCATATACACACTTTTCCTATATAAAAGGTGCTTAATTTCAAACACTGCTGAAGGCTTGCTAGCAAATTGTATTTAATAGTTCTACAAAGAAATAACCGCTGGGTAGATTTAGGATAGATTCAGTCTGGCCTATCTTACAAACAGAGCACCAACCGTTTTGGTATCTATCGGTCTTCACCAGCGTTTTCGCAGTACACTACAGGCCGAATGGCGTCAGATTCCACAGGTGACTATCCGCACCGTAAGGTCTATGAGGCGACGATGTACATCTGTAAGAGACGCTGATGGAGGACATTGTCGTTAATAAAGATCCCGACGGTGACATTACGAATAGACATGTATGAGTGACTTTGGGTTTTTTTATTTTGTTTTTGCCTTTGTTAAATTTGCGTTACTGTGATGAAAAAGTGTGATTTTGGGATTTTCACCTTGTGTTCTTCGATTTACTGGTGAACATTTGATTTCAAACATTTTGAATTATTTTCAGTTGTTAAGTTTGCATTTTGTATTAAAGTGATGATATATATCTAATGAAGTCGTTAGTGTTTTGTTTTCATGTAACAAAATGCAAATAGTTCGGGCGTGCGTTTTCATTGTCCTTAAGTATATTAGAAATACATTGTAGCTAATTTAATCCGAGGCCTATAGGCAGAATCAGAATTATCTTGCATTTGATAATTATGACTTTGCTATGAAGTATCATTAAAAGTATCATATTTCTATTTTCATTATATCAAAAAATAAAATTACATTGAAGAGTATACTGCTACATATCTGCGGCAAAAATGTTTTTTTTGTGAAACAAAACTTCCAAAATGCTTCTATGAAAGAAATAAAATAGAATATTGCCTTAAAAGCGATTTTTTTTTAATTATCAAATTAGCTTCTAAGATTTGTTTTTACCGAAAATATTATTTAGGTAATTTTTGGTAGCAAAACTTGTTTGATTAAGAATTTTATGCAGATAGTGACGTGTAAACGAAAGTCGTTTTTTAAGCAGCAAGCAACATGCTGATTGCCATGACGATTTTGAAAATGTATAGTGAAATATTGTGATATTAACAAAAACAATTATTTACACATTGCAAACAGCACTAACAATCCACGTAAATAACCAATTAGAGGTCAAAATATCCAAAATGCTCCTTACTGCGTTAGTCATTGATTAGAATTATGGTTATAAATACTGCAAAATTAGTCACTAATCGCATATGACATGTAAATTATTACCTGGAATCTTCTCTCTGTTTTTAAAAGCTTAGTACATTTTAGTTTGTTTTTCTTGAATTGTTTTGTTTAATCTGGAGGCAGCTTTAATATGATAAGGTAACCGTTTGAAGTAATAATTAAGTGCAACTCACACATTTTAAGCATAAAGATTTAAGCATAAATCTGAACATGTTTCATTAAGAATATAGAAAATAATGGTTGATGTCGGGATGGAGAAGGTTTATCCGGTGAGCGAGAAAGTGTATCTTGGCGAGCTTTAGCGAGCCAAGATTCACTTTCTTAGCAAACCAGATAAACCTTCTCCATCCCGACATCAACCATGTATTTAATTTATCCTGCGTTTTATCATGTTTTTAGAATAATTAAATGGTTTCATTCTTCTTTTTCCCCGATAAAAAAAACATCTATATGCAGTTTTGTTTTGCTGCTAAATATGTGACGTCATCATGTGACGTAATGACTGGAGATAGATAAGTTTATCCGGCAAGGCTTTATCCAGCTGATGATAAAGACAGTAGCAGGATAAAACAAAATCCTTTGTGTAAGATAAAACATTTTCCAAACCCCAATGAAATAATTCGTGAATACTGTGGTAGCAAACTTTCTAGATATGATACAAATTTATTTTAAATTTATTTCTGACGTATCAAGGGGCTAAATTCAAAAAGCAAGGCTGTTGTTAAAGAAGTTCTTTTAAGTAGAAACAATACAAAAATTGAAAGAAAAAAATGTGGTTAATTATGTGACATATTTCTTTCTATTTCTCTTTCTAAAAAAGAACTGTTTGGCCTACAGACAGATAATAGATAGTTGTTTAGCACATGCATATTACGATTGAGATGTTTTACTCTAACAGGTTAACAATTTTTTTCAGGAACACCTAGTTATCAATAACAAATTCCTTTTCATGATCCTTGGCTTAGAATTTTAACATTTTTAAAAATATAAACAGTTGACAACGACGAAACTTTAAACAGTTATTTTAATCCATTGTATTTTACGAAACAATTGACAGGCTAGATTCATCACCGACGGAACATGTCAACTTACTGTAAAATTATAGTCAAACTTTATACACACTGGGAGTTGAAGAAAACGAATTCAATAACATATTTGGGATATAGCTCAAGGGCATGATGGTATGGAAATTTCAAATCGTTACTTGTCAGTTTTTCCGAAGAACCCATGAGGATTTGAAACAGCAAGTAAAGGAAATCAAAACCGCCGAAACGCCCTTCTGGTAATTGATTTAAATATATGATTTTGCAGAAAAACTGATAAAATTGAAGACAAACAAAAAATTATAAAGGGGCTCAATAGACCTTGGTACTCGTATAAGCAATTATCAGACAAAGGAGAAATAGAACTGGCATGTATTATCAAGTTTAATGATAAAACTTTCGAAATGAGAGATATTTTCTTGATGTACTAACCTGTTCCATTACTGTAAGAGGTCATGCAACAATATAGAAATAAAACAGAAATACAAAATGTTTACAAACCGATATTTTTCCATTTTCATCTAACAGACCAAGTGGTATACCACGGCGATGAATATGCTTTACAAGCTGGAAACCTGTTACATTGACACCGCCATATTTGTAAGACTTCCATATAGATTTATCCAAGCCATTTATATCCTAAAAAAGAGGTCACGTTCTTTTATTAGCATTATATAATATATTTACCGCTAGGTATTATAACATACAAATCATAATCTATTACTCAAAATGGTTGCGCTCCTATAATTTACCTTTTTTATTTTGTATGACATTCGGGCTATATCAATTAACAGCCATAAGAAATAAATTTAAAAGGTCATTGAAGCATAGAATAGGTACATGATTCAATATTTTAATTTCCAAAATAATTGATAAGTTTCATCAAACAAAATTTATTAAATCAACGAACAGTCTTAAAGCAGCATGCCTCCTTATTAGCCAAGGTATTTCAATAAAATCAAACTTAGGTTAAAAGTCCTAAGAATTTAGGAAAAGTAACCTTCAAGAAATAGTTAAAATAATATGTGCGATTTATGAGTAATTTTTCATTACTAATAACTATATTTCTACTGCGTTAATAAGACAGTTAAGGCTATTTTTGCATATTTAACCTCATTGTGGTATTAAACGGGGGTTATAAGTGCCATTGATAAAGTATAAATTGTTTATCACAATATTATACAATTAGCATGAACTTGAGGCGTGCTGCTTTAAATTTGTTGAACATATTGTTCATGAAGTTATATCATACCAGCGTTCCTAAAATGTAATGATATCCATCTTTGTTCATTCCGACTTGTACTATCTGAAAACATATCATTATCACAAAACAATAATCTATCAAAGTCACAATTGCATTTTCAGTATAATAGTAATGTAACACAAGATGGTGTCATCTTTCATCAAATGAAAAGTACAGCTTTATAACTAGATAGTATAACAGCAGAGTAATCGCGTGTTCTCTTAATGAGTGTTGTCTAACTTCTTATTGTTGTAGACAGTTTGTGACAAGACATCTCTAATACATTGCCGTTCAAGATTAAAAAGTTCTTTATAGTACAAAATAAGAGAGAAATGTTGTAGAAAAATGTTTACTGTCATGGTTAAGGTTAATGTCTGCAAATGATCCATAAAGATAATATGTTTATGGTAGAAGAGGAAAACGGGCCACCAAAATAATGTGTGGGAAAAAAAACATTTTCGAAAATATCCTGTCAAACAAAATTTTCAAATTTTAATATCTTGTGAAACAGTTGTCCCTAGGAAGCATTAAAAACAGCAAAATTATATGAAAATTGCAAACTCGGTTTGATTGAGTCGGTACATGAGGGATCATAAAAAAGTGCAACATCCCTCACACTCCCTAGTTTGAGTGGAACTCAATTCTCAACACTTAAAAGAGCTGAACTCAATGATCCCGAAGGACCACAAAAAAACAACACTGGTTATTTAAATTGACACTTTTCAAAAATCGAAATGTACAATGCATGTACTCTTGGCATGGTGTTTTGATTTTTGATGGCAGTTTCATCATATCAATCTTATTTTATTACTTTAATAAAGACCGACCTGTTTCATAAGAGCATTGTAATCCGCTATTGAATGAAAGTCGAGGACGAAAATTTTAGCATCTAGTTTGAACTGTTTGTCTAGCTTCTGTAGAAGGTCTCTGCTGTCTCTAACGTTAGGTACACGGATAGCTTCAATATCCGGCTGGGTCCAGCCTGAAATTTCATCTACTTCACCAAACGCTTGATAAATCTTCTGTAGGCGCCATATTGCTAAATGTAGATAATGCTTAGATGGACTTAAATGTTGTGACCGTGTTAAAAACAATATTGATAAATGCAATTACCATACTTATTCAAAAATAAATAAACAAAAGAAAGAAAACAAAATGTCAAATTTTTGCTATTATAGCTATAATTAAATAATGCCATTTTACAAATATAATACAGCATGTACAGGGTAAGTAAATTCATCGTATTTCTTCACTAGCAGCATCTGCAGAAGCATTCGCATGACCGGGAATTTAATAAAGACCGCGGGCTTCTGGAAATGTTAATGCATGAAATAATGTGTATTTTCGGCGCTATTTCTGCATACAAGTATATGTCTGTTGTTTTGTGTTGCTACATTTTTATTCAATTTATCGCGTGATGCGATGCTTTGTCTTTTGTGGTCCTCAGTTGTAAACTTGTAACATGCTATTTTGGTAAAACAACACACAACTAGATATCTCAAATAGCACACATGTCTAGAGAAAATGTGCAGTAAAACATAGTTATAGAATTTCATTTATTTTATATTAAATCCTTTGTAGTAGAACATTTAGATTAAAGATGAGTAACAGGGCAATAGAGCACTCAGTGAAGAGAGACTTTTGTCTTGAACATGAACGCACACATTTTACACATGGTTTGATCCCTTTTCCTTAAAATAACTTGGTAAAAAATGGTGGTACTGTTCGTATTATTCTATTCCTGAGTATATTACATGAGTAGCATTATTCGCAGTTTTATAACTTTCAAGCGCCTAAGATAGTAAAAAATATATTTTTATTTCAATTCAAGAAGTTGTTCTCTGTTTCAAATTTAACGAGGACGGATGACCATGTCATGGTATTTCCACAGTCTCGGCAATTACTAGCACATTAAGAGTTTCAGAAGTATCACTGACTCTTCATAAATTAGCCGGACACATTGAACCTTCCTAACGTAAAATATATCAAAGCGGGAAATGATGAAGTCAAATAACTAAATAACTACACTAGGAAAAGGACACCCTTTTTACGAGCGTATATGCTCCTTGTTATTACCTACTGCTATTTTAAAATAATTGCTGTATACATAACTGAAGTTTGTTTCAAGTTTCATACACTGATTCAATAAATGTGATAAGCTTGATCTTTATGATATTTTTTATTCTCTCAATACCGGATATTATATTTTTCCGCAATTTGAGAAGAAAGAGAGAAAATATTGTTCAAATTAAAATAAGTTCATCCTTTGATTGTATATAAGCTAACGTGTTTGAAAAAAAATGGTTGAAAGTCATATGCTATCATTTTTCATGAAGTACTTATGATATAAAATTGTACAATCACGAAGAGTGGGTGTGGATTTTTTCGTTAATGCAAGTTTCCTCCTCCGTTTACCTACACCTGCGGACGTAGTATTTTAATTCATAAATAAAGAATAAAACATTAGGGCTGAAGCCAAATAAAAACTGTAATAATGAAAGTTTCTTACAACATCACAAATATTCATTTTAAATCAAACGTGTCTTCTTAATGACAAAATGTAAGACGTAAACTTTATAGGTTGTGATTTCTGCTGAAGATTATTCTGCAATATAATCTGCTAAAACTTTTTTTTTGCTGAAAATTGTCGCACTTTTACAATGAAAACATTATAATTTGGTCTTACCATCGTTTCTGTCGTATAAATAGAACATTTTCTCCCACCGAAAGAACTTGATGACGTCAATAAGAGCGTCTACAAATGAAGGGCACATGTTGATTAAAAAATCCTTGTCATTTAATCCTCGTGACTTTGTAGGTAGAAACATTGGTATTTCTAGCTTACTACTATATGATTTGAAAACATTATACGCTTCTCCGTTACTTATTCCAAACAAGGCAATAGGTTGCATCGAAATGAGGTGACAAACTGAAATAAAACAAAAATAAATTGCAATAACCCTAAAGGATAATCTGCATAACTTTTCATTTAGGACAAGGTTTTTCAATAAAGATAATTCATATCAGTAAAGCAGCGTAATTCACGAATGCAATGAGTATACATGTATGAGAAGTAATTTAATTCATAGATAAAAATCAACACGCTAAACTTCATTTACAATTTAACTTTTTCGTAACTATTTGATTTATTTCCTTTACAATTTCTGTTTAAATATATAATACTTTGCGACGCAGTTATATATAATAAATTTTTTCCTGTATTTCAATTAAATGTTTACTCAATCTGATTAAAATCAGCTCCTAAAGAACGCTTCGCATGGAAGAAATAAGAAGATCCGAACTTTAGTCAGATTGATGTGTTATTTTGAGTTCTTTTATAACAATTTAGTAATGATATACATAATTATATATGTTTGTTCATATGATAATCAGTGTCAATCTTTCCATAAATCAATTTGATTTGATTTAAGATACTTTTTTAAAATTAATATGTTGCAACTCTACCAAGGATTGTCGCCCTAAAAAGTCCATAAAAGAAATGACATCTTAATGATTGCAAACAACTCCTGAAAAGCTATTGTACTCGCTAACAATCCTTTTTTCATACATTTATCACCTTATAGTCACTTAATATAATATATTTACAATGTAACGTTCGCATTTCTAAATAAATGAACATGACAATACTAAAGCACACATATTTGGTCTAGAAAATCTAACAGTGTTTTTTTTTTTCTTTCTGAAAATAACTTAAAGATACGTTTTTTTTTCGAAAATCCCTCGTACACTAAAGAATTAAAGGGAAAAGTAAACAAATATTACCATTTTAATGAATGAACATAACCTTATTATTAATTGTGCTGAAAACATATACCGACCAATATCTATTGATGCTAACAGAGAGGGAATAATTTATTGTAAACGGTGACTAACAATCAAAATCTGAATGAAATGAATAATATATCAACAGGTCTGATTGCATCATTAATGAAACTCTTGATGGTCTTTATCAATTCAATTAAGGGAAAATTAAAGCTCAAACTACGTTTGTATTGACAAGCGGACATATAATTGAATAGAAACAATGACGTTCCCTTCATTGTTATCAATTATTAATGCGTGTGCCGACAGCGAGAATAACAGTCCTCTCTTTAGTTTATAAATCTGTTTTAGCTCGATTATGAAGAAAGTTTGGGGATTATTCCGGGAATTAACAAGCGCTGGTATCATATCAGGAAATCTGGTTGAGACACTAGATAGACACGAAGCAATGGATCACTGCTCCAAGTTTAGTAAAAGACTTATTGTGACGAAAGCTTCCACTGTCAATCTGTTCTTCGAACAAACTAGTACTGCTGTCATAAATAAAGAGACAATGAGGTTACCGCACGTTCATCTCGAGATCTCAGATTAGAGACATACGCATTAACCATGAGATCAAGCGCTCCATTAGTAAAACATATGTGTACAACTTTGTGAGTTTTACTTTTGGTATTTAAGTTGCCATCTATATCTTATGCAGTTCAAATAGTCATGTTTAACTGAAGACTTTACATAATGTCTGTATTTTAAGAAGTTCAAATACCCAGGTGAACATGTGTTATTTTAAATTAAAGTCTATACCTTTCGAACTTGTTTTGTATTTACATTTTGTATCTGTATTTCAAATTATTATTTGTCTTATTTCAGTTCAATAGCAACGTGAGCATGTTATATTTTTAATTAATTATCATCCTTATCCAAAGATAAATCATCTTTGTCATATGCAGTGCAAATGGCTACGTGAACATGTGTGACATTTTGAACTACGATCTGTATTTTAAGAAGTGAAACAAAGACGTAAACGCGGTATTTTAAACAATCGTCTGCATCATATTCAGTTAAATAATCACGTGAACATGTGGTGTTTTAAAAATCATATGTATTCCAAAAACACGTAAACACGTGCTTTTAAATTACCATCTGTATCTCAAAATGTTTAAATAGCTACGTAAACAAGCTCGAGGGTTACTGTTTACGGCGGTAACGAGTCTCTGCTAGATATTCCCGTCTGTTACGACAGCAGGTCTTTGATACCTTTTCTTGCATATTTCATTAATCATATTTCGGAAAGAAATAACGAAAAGTAATAGTTATCAATTATCACTTTTTTCTTATAGTACGAGCATTTACAACTTCATTCATAACGGCAAAATGTCGTCATCCTAAGAACGCTTTTCATTCATAAAAAGCATGAGAATGACGTCATTTAAGACACGCGACTTGTCTTACATCATGTTTTTCTAGCACCAGTGTAAAGAGTAGATAATCCTGTCTCATTTTCAAGAATATCCTGCCATGTATACCCAAGCATATTACACATGCGCATTTTGAATTACCTATGTTTTATACTTACAAGTATTGGTTAGGTTGAAACAGTTGTTAAGATCGGTTTTATTTATCAATGGATTCATTTTAGCAGATATGGATTTGTTTGAAGCCTGCATAGCAATTTTTATAGACATTATTATGGACTCTGCTCTTGGATCAGCACTGTCTAAAACAACACCTGGAATAAACGAAACTCAATAAACAGTAAATTGAAAATTTTGAACATAAATCAACCCGGAAATAAAAAGAAACTATTTATAGACATTATTATTCAAATTAGTGATAAATTTCATTGTGGCGGTTGTGCAGACGGATTTATTGACTCAGTACAATCAAGTTACAAGTTAACCATTTGGGGATATAAGCAAACGACATAAAGATCTGCAAATCAATATATGAATTCTTCGTTTTCATTCCGCTGGCAATTATTTAACTGTAAATATTTCAAGTTATACATAAAATTATTATAAATTATTATTCATAAATATTCACTTTGATATGCATTATATTTCACAGTTTTACAGGGAGTGAATCTTTCTCTTAAGGTTATTTATTATAAACAAGCTGTTAATGTTTGTTTAAATAACCAAGTATAAATAAATATAAAATTGAACTGATTGTACAATCTAAATTGCAGTAAAACGCACACTTTCAAATAAGATTCATAGTGTTAACATATTAAGATACAAAGACAGCATGTTTATGTACCGACATATTGTAATGTTTATGGAAATTTACTGCTTTAGAGTGCTTTGCCGATTTTGTGTTTAAAGTACAAATTATTAAATTGTTATATAAAGTCTTACCTATGTTTACTGTTTTGTCCGTATCTGTTTCCAGGAGCGAAGTCGAGAGTAAGGCTGCATTTAACATGTATAGGAAGATAAATTGAATGTTGCAGTGTAAATTGTCCTTTGATGTCCACATGGGCATCATTACGGCGGGCAAAACTGCTCCTCTTTTACTTCTATTCTATTCTCAGCACCATTCTTCTGACATTTTAATTCTTCATTTTATTTCTTATTTGCACACTTTCCTTCTTGTCAAGTAGCATTCTTTAAAGCGTTTATACACATTTCTGGCATTTGTTTTTCTTTTGTTATAATCTCGTCTCTCTCTTCTAAACTCCTGTTATATCCTAGTAAATATAAAAAACCATTCAACGAGTTTATAACAGAAATAATCACATCCGTCTTTTACTAATAAATAACGATTTCTTCCGAAAATGGTTTAGTTCAGAGATATATTAATAGAAAACATAATAATTCCAATGTAAAAAATTATTTGGTTCATACTCAGATAAACATTTGTTAATAATTCTTTCGGTATGATGGGTCTTACAGAATATTAATGCACGACGGTCGATCATATCCTCGCGATACCAAACGTCAATATATTATATAAACACCAGTTGGCGTATGCCGTTTGTCGTACGTGCGCTGCCAATGTATTATTAATAAATATGTAGGACGTCAAATAATCGTTCTTTAACAGAGACTGTCCCTACAGACCAGTTATATCATGGACTGCAATCAGTTGGCAATTCAATATTTAATTTGATGATATTTGGAAGACTGTTATTTAATATCGAGAAACAATTGTATCCGGATTAAGCTTTATAATACCTGTCAATATAGATGCACTAAATCCAGATAACATCTCATTAGATGAACACTATGCGTACAGTAGAATAAAACGGGCTATTCGGACCATTTGAATAATTTTTGCGATATCTTTAATAATATAAATAAATTTCAAATAAGTCACAGCGAAAACATTAGGTTTACAATAGCTCCTTTGCGGAGTGAAGTTAAATTATAGAACTCAAACATAAACATAGAAATTAACAACATACTCGTATTGAGACATATGGCCAGTTCATCACACCAATAGAAATATCTCCTGGAGTTTTAGCTTTTAGATCATCAGCCATACAAATAACAGGAATGTGTGTTACCTGACTGATAATTCATTGCATGAATTTAATTAAAAACAATCAAGCTGTAAGTCTGTGATATATATGCGTTAGGAATTGTTTTCAATGTGTCTGGAATGACAACATAATCAGTACAAAGCGGTTGCTTAGTTAGTTCATTTATAAATGTTGGTTTGTTTTTACAAAATAATTAAATGTAAGTACATTTACGTACGTATTTACGTAACGTACGTATTATTTATGTACAACATATTTCTGAACATTTCTAAAATCTCATTTACAGGAAACATAGCACGTGTTTACACCAAGAATTGTTGTTTATGTCTCACAAATTGCGCAAACATACATAGTAAAAAAAAGCATTTGAAATCCAAAAATGTTAACAAAATAAGATTTGAGATTAAACAAGAACCAAACAAATAAAAATAACGAACTTACAGTTAAAAGACAATGTCCCAAGAGCACGATAAAATAATATTCCTATATGTAAAAAAATAATATCATGTCAATAGTTCATCAATCCGAAATGAATGAATAATGCGAAAGAATAAAAGTCAACGCAACATTTTTATACTGTTGGTTAAAAAAGCTAAGGTAAATGAAACAATTCTAGATTAAAAAAAGCTGACTAGTTCGTTCAGGCAATGGAATACCAATGCTCTCATTGTCAGTTATGGAACGAAGAGCAAGTTTCGTTTGTATTTATTAAGTACTGCGGCTAAACATGTCAGAAGAATGTCTCTCTTAATTCACATAATTACACTGGATATAACAGAAGCCTTTTGACATTTCCTAAACGATGATACAGCTTTTAGGAAAGAATTGCTTATTGTGACGATATTATATTGTAAAACGAGTCCTATAAAACATAATTATGTTCAACATTGGAGAAAGCACAATGGACAAAAGCGACAGAGATAATGGAGTTTTAGATAGATTCACACAATACTCAGAGGTATAACATTACTTCTTCTCTGGTTTCACACCACTAAATGGAAAACTCTGATACGGTGTTACATTTAATGTCGAAAGATGTGTATTATTCATAGGGTCGTATCAGTTTTTATTTGTTTACGATGTAAAAGGACCGGTTTTATACCCATTAATGTTACACTGTTTGTTGCATAATTTACAAAATAAGAGTAAGTTATAAATTGATGCTGTTTCGTAATTATGTTATCAGGGGAACACCAGAAGTTATTATGTAAACCTAGGGAAAATGAGCTACCAATGGCTGATGCCTAAAATGACAAGACTAGAAAACACATTTTGCCCAACAGAAAAATGCTGTACATACTTCTATAGGCATTAAAAATATATACCAGTTCAAGAGTTCAACATTATAATCTATCATAATTTTATCAAATTTACTACAATTTTTTTTTATCTTACCGTTATATTTTGAATTGTCAAATGTTTATCTTTTACTGTTAAGGAAGAAAATGCCGTGTTTTGTAAGCGCTGGATCTGTATTGTAACTTACTTTGATGCCAACAATAAACCCCGTATCTATTAAAATTAAATCGCCCACTATCTGATATATCTGATAATGAATCTTTAAAATATACTTGAAAAGCTTTAAAGTAAAACAATCGTAGCCAGTTTTGGATTTTGCATTTCACAATTATACTTTTTCTTAGCTGCTGTCGGCAGTTCAGAATCTCTTTCGACTGCAAGTTTTGGATAAGGTCTTTTTTCTTGTGGTACTTCCTCAACGATACCTTTGTCGCTACAAATACTTTCGGAGTAAAATTTATTTTACACATTGCGCAGAACAATTTCATGGCATGTTTTCAATCATCGAGTAAAGTAGGCTAAATAGCTGACTTTACCATGTATCAGTTCTGTCCCATCTTTATTTTGTCATTTGCAACAGGACAAGATCGCGTGAACAAGCAAGTTATCGTTCAATGCGATGTCTCTAGCAGAAAATTGATCAGTATTAATATGCGATCAGTGATTCGAATCGCCTATTCATGGGAAGTATATTAACTAAATTGATTTCCTTATCGCCTCCATTATGTAGAATTAAGGTCTAGATCCATCCTTTCCCTATCGAATATACAGTATTATGGAATCTGTGAGTAATCTCATAACGAACGTAAACTGTTGTAACATCGGCCTAATGTCGAACATAACAAGTTTGCCATTTGTTAGGAGAAAGCACTAAAATGATAATATCAGTAGCTGATTTGATAAAAACTTGTTATTTTAAATCCTTGTGCACCAATATTTTGTTCAATATGTTTATAGCATGTAACCTTTACTCAGTTATATTACTGCTAAAACTTGTAAATAGACCAGTCAGGTTCTTAAAATACAACACAACTTATAACAATTCTAAAACGTTGTAGCCATTTGGCAAAGGATATTTGACATATAATGTTGAACAGACCATTAAGAGGTCTTGTTTATCATTGCATAAATATCGTTTTGATAAGAACAAAATTACATAATATTCAATTTATTTTTATACATTTCTATTTCTTACGTATAAATACTTGTCTACAAAACAGTATTGTTTTAAGTTTTAAAAAAAACTATGGTTAAGGATTAAAGGGATTTTTACATTATATAAATTTGAAGTAAGTTACACTTACCTACCAATATCTCATGCCTATTTTTATATAATTTAAGTGATTTAAGTGGCATTGCACGTCCAATATGGGTCCTGACATCACATGGTGTTCAACAATATTTGTTGTAATATTTTTGCACTGTAACACTCCATTTGGCGACATACAGAACTGAAAAAAAATCGAAAAATTTTACTTTGTAAAAAGAATGCAAAATATTGAAAAGTAATAATATGATGTTTTGTATATCAGTATAAATCATGATGTTATTCTATATTGTTCAGTACAATACTGCATTCTATTGGACGAGTACACAGTTGTCAAACCTATATTGGACAGGGTGTAAGCAGCTGGGTATAAGTCTAATAGAACACTCAACAATGTATAATGACCTAAATATTTCACGTAAAACAGAACTTCTAATACTGTTATTTTGAGTATATTTTGAATTGGATATTGATTTATTCTGACGCTTAAATGAAAACGAGACTAAACTAAGTAAAAAAGTGGTTTAGTGTGTTAAAAAAAACAAGGCTAGATTTAGTAAAATAGTGATGTGATTGATTCGGTTTGACTCGGAATATGAAAAAGGCTTACTTGATAAGATTAGTTACCAATATTAGGAGGTGCAAATGTGGTAACGCTGTGAATGCATTGCTTACTTTTAAGGTATAAAATAATTTTCCTTATTTATTGCATGAATTCTATTGGACAGAAAAAAAGTGCTAGTCCATATGATGTTCAAGTGTAATTCGGAGTGATGTTGCTACGTAACGGCCTCGTGAGACACTGACGTAGTAACATACAACAGAGTCAAATACATTTTACAGAACAAGATAATCTCATAATAACCGTTTTATATTTTATGACGAACACATTCGTATCTTGTGCGGTATTCCAATGGGTTTATGCATAATTTTGTATTATATCCCGTGTTTCAAAATACGCTTATACGCAAATCCTCTATGTAAATAAGCTATAAACTAGTATTTAACCAGTTTAAAACCAGTTACATCATGCAGCTTCCGAAGATGGAAGTGTTCTTTGTAACAAATAGCTGTGTTGATAATTGTTGATCTATCAACAACTTCCTATATACATTACTATACACTATTATAATTCAAATAAAAGAAAATTAAACAAATGACACCTTATTTATATTTAACTTATCAACGTTAAGCATTACTTTCCTCACATAATGGTCAAGGTCTTTTTTAATAGTTTTTAAGTCTTTAAAGTTTGCTGTATTCTCTAGAATAAATGACTCTGTAAACAAAAATAAAAAATCTAACATTGTAGGTGTGTATATTATATTTAGTTCTTCATAGTCCTTCGCAGGATTCTATTAAAATTGAAAACAAGTAAAACAGAGAAAATAACAATAAGTTCAGCATGGGGGAGTAGTTTGCATATTTTGATACTGTCGGTAAAAATAGCACAGTTATTATTCCCTGCGGTCTGGAGACCGCAGGGTATTGGTACGCGTTTAACTTTTGAGGCATGGAGGGGCACGTGACCTGTTTTCGGTACATGGAGGAGCACGTGATCTGTAAACCTTACATGATTGGTTAATTGACCCTGTCGAAAACCTGGCTATTTACCGACCGTTTGCCGGTACGTGACGGATTTACTTCTGGGAATTAGGCAGAATTTCATCTAATAAGAACCAAAAAACTATTACGTGATATTTCTAATTTTCTATAAATATTTTACCGTTTAAGGTTGAAAAACTTGAATGATGTGTTTGAAAATTATCAATGTTTCTTTAATATGTATCTCAAATTTTACAGACAATACGGTCACCCGTGAGTTTCCAAAGACCTTCTTCTATATTGATCGACTATATGTTGTCCCCCCTACCCAAACAATGTTGAAAATAGTTAAATGAAATATCTTATATCATTAAAAATGTTCCCCGCAGGAAACCATTTTACTTGTTTTTAACTGTCAATAGTTTTGAACCGATTTGTGTTATTTCTTTCTTATAAACATGTAGTGTACTACTTTACTGTAAGTTAAAACCATCAACATGCGTAAAATTTGAAATAATCTAATTTTATTGAAATTCAATTGACACTTTCAGCTACAATGTATTATCTATATATACTATGATAAATACGTAACGTAATTTTTCATAAAAAACTTTTTTTATTCCATCTTAACTAGAAAAACTAGAAAAACAATCCAAACTTAAGAATCTTATCATTTATACTCACAACACTAATATAGCAATCATTTTGAGATGTAAGTAATTATACCTGTAACTGAACAAACATGTTTTAGAATAACGAAAATGCGAAAAACAATCTCAGAACAGTTCCCTTGATTCCATCTGCCATTATTGTATAAACACAATCCCGTAGCGTCGTTTGTGGTACGTGCGCTTGCAATTGTCCGATTATTTTAGTGAGCAACATGAAATTATATCTCTGACAGTATTGTCCTTACGGAATAATTAATATGATGAATTGATTTGGGCGTATTGATAAGATCAGTATGTGAACTATGAATTTATATGGACGTAAAATGTAAATACAAACAAATGATAAAACTTGCATCAAAAATTGTTCTTGTCCAGAAAGCTAAAATTTGACACGAAATTTGATATGATATTAAAGTTGTCTCAAATATCGTTTTTAAAGACATTTAGGAACCAGGTCCGTTATCTACGTTCCCGTCCGTGTACAATCATATACAACAATTTATTGATTTAAATAGTCATTAATCGCAAGATAGATTTGAGTTTTTTCAAAAAGCTGAATGGCATAATCGGTTGATATTTCCCCATTTTTCTCATTAACAGACACATTTTATCCCCCTTCACCTCCCCCCAAAAAGCAAAACACCTTCAGACATCTTTATTGATTGGAAGCTGGTGGTGTTATAAAGGTAATAAACAAGGAGCCCAACAATAATCTCGTTCACTAAAATGATGAACTATGATCATGTGTACTTGATTCAACTGTGAAGCCTTCATCTATTCGAACAATAAAAATAACCATTAAAATAAAATTATCAAATGCTAAAGTTAATCGCTATGAAACTCATCATGTCTACTGTTAAAGTTTAATTTGTAATTATTCTCTCAATTTCATTGCTTAGA